TGTACAAAATTCAGAGTACATAAATCCGTAGTCAGTGAGTAAACAGCGTGATTCCATCTTTGCTTAACTGACCCTTGACCAAGCACAAACTTTGTTTAGATTTGAAGGCACAATTGATCCTATACACTATGTCTTTTTTTTATGATTTGGACTATTGTTCATAATGGAAGAGAAACGACATCGATGGTATGGCAAACTGTCAGTCATAAACAGGTAACGTGCTAGTGTAGCTCACAGGTAAAATATAGTTTTCTTTATGGAATCTTGAGTTGCGTTGGGTTATTGAACTGTACGACTTGATTCATTAGTTAACTACAATTTACTCACGTGTAACTCTTGCATAAACTCCGGGCCTATCAGGTCGAGCACAGCCATAACCCCACGACACAACTCCCACCAGCTTCCACTTGCCGTTTTCTTCCACCACCATTGGTCCTCCAGAGTCTCCCTGTGACATTCAGATATATTGTGTAGAATATATCGAAAGGAATGGCATGCATGCACATAACATAATTAGTATTTACATCTTAAAGAAAGGGAGAACATACCTGACAGGAGTCCTTGCCTCCCTCAGGAATGCCTGCGCAGATCATGTTGTCAGTGATGCTTCCTCCATACTTGTTATTGCATTCGGTGTTAGTCATGGTGGGCACTGTAACTTCGAACAAGGTGCCTGATGTGGAACCTCCTGTTGAATGCATATATGAGTCAATGCAAGTGGATTCTTCATTTTTCTCTATCATAACAGAAAACGTAAAGATTTATTTTAATAAAAACCTTATCAAGAACATCAGTACCCACCCTCCTGTTGAGCTCCCCATCCTGTGATTGTGGCATCCACATTATCATACATTTCACCAGCAGTTGGAAGGCACACAGGGGCGATTTTGTTGTCAGATGGGAACTGTATTTCTGTGGTGAGTCTGATGAGGGCAATGTCGTTGTCCAGTGTATTGGAATTATAGGACGGATGACTCACAATCTGTTCGAATGGATGCGTATTAGTTATTTATTTCATTTGTTTGGTGACTTTTTGTAAATATAGATCTTAAAGAATATGCTTTTACAAATCGTGTCACTTATTTAATGTTCTGTGATGAAGTGAGGACGTTCCACTTACTTCAGCAATCTGCATCCACTGAGAATTGGCATCACTTGATGAATACAGATTGTGGTCTCCCACCAACACGTAATCCGAGGTGCTCATGCTGTAAATATAAGGAAAATTTAGAAAAAAAAAATGCATTCTAGGTAGAGATGAATGATTCCTCATGGATAACTACTTACACAGCTGCACAGTGAGCTGCAGTGACGACCCATTGGCTGGAGATGATAGAACCGCCACAGAAGTGATAGTATCCATTTCCGTTGACAAGAGAAACCATCCAGGGATATTCGTTCACCTCCGTCTCTACTCCACCAACAATGCGGTTGGCACGGTTCACTTGTCCACATCCAGCTGTGGATGAACAAATAATTACCTCTATAACAAGAAAGCCGCAAAACCAATTTCGTATTCCAAGTACTCTATTGAAAATGGAGTACTTGACACTTCAAAAATTGTCTGACATCAACTTTCTTAGTATCTCTTGGTTTTGTTTTTTTTAGTTCATCAAGGTTGAAGACTGATATGTCGTTTGCGTTTGTAAGGAATGTTTTATTTAGATATATTTCTTTAAGTTTTTATATAGATAGATAGATATTAGTATGGTACTTTGTAGATTAATACAGATTTTCTTATTTTTACGTACGGCAGTCAGAATTGGGAGCAGACGTAGGGGCAGGCGTGGGTGCAGGAGTAGGAGCAGGCGTCGGGGCATTAGTTGGAGCAGGTGTGTTCCCATCGACACAGACACCGGTTGTAGAGTCAGAAATCCATTGCAAATATTCTGACGAAAAAAATATTTATTTGTTCATACGGACAAGGAATTTTGGAAAATGAACATATTAATAGCAAGAACATAAATTCTCACATTCTTTTCATATTTGGTGACAGACAAAAAATATTGTAATGCTTTCATTTATGAATACAGATGCATGTGTTAATGACTACAGCCCTAGACATGTATTAAAGATTCCAATCAGCACGGATGGCAAGAATGAATGTCATGTCCACTATAATATAAGTTCATTTATTGTATTTACACACTGATGGCTCTATGAGTGCTTATTCACCAACGAGTCAATTACTGCTACCTATCTCTTTAATGTTACCAAGATTTTAATAACAATTTAATTATCAAAATAAGAATATCAAAATAATTATCAAGAAGAATAATAACAGTATCAATATTAATACATATTTTCCCGCAGTTTTAAGGAATTCGGGAATTAGGAGTGATCACTAGGATCTACTGATACACTCCTTGTTGACTGAGTACATGTACATACAAATTCAGAGTACATAAATACGTAGTCAGTGGGTAGAGTGATTCCATCTTTGCTTAACTGACCCTTGACCAAGCACAAACTTTGTTTAGATTTGAAGGCACAATTGATCCCTATACACTATGTCTTTTAAATGACTTTGACTATTGTTCATAATGGAAGAGAAACCACATCGATGGTAGGGCAAACTGTCAGTCATAAACAGGTAACATGCTAGTGTAGCTCACAGGTAAAATATAGTTTTCTTTCATGGAAAGCTTGAGTTGAGTTGGGTTATTGAACTGTACAACTTGTTTCATTAGTAAACTACAATTTACTCACGTGTAACTCTTGCATAAACTCCGGGCCTATCAGGTCGAGCACAGCCATATCCCCACGACACAACTCCCACCAGCTTCCACTTGCCGTTTTCTTCCACCACCATTGGTCCACCAGAGTCTCCCTGTAACATCCAGATATATTGTGTAGAATATATCGAAACGAATGCCATGCATGCAGGCAAAACAAGTAGTATTTATATAGAAAGGGAGAATAAACATACCTGACAGGAGTCCTTGCCTCCCTCAGGAATGCCTGCGCAGATCATGTTGTCAGTGATGCTTCCTCCATACTTGTTATTGCATTCGGTGTTAGTCATGGTGGGCACTGTTACTTCGAACAAGGTACCGGATGTGGATCCTCCTGTTAAATGTATTGTATGAGAATGCGGGCAGTTTTTTTCTTTTCTCTTCTTTTCTTTTCTTTCTTTCTATAACATAATACAAAATATATACAAATATCGCGAATATCAGTACCCACCCTCCTGTTGGGCTCCCCATCCTGTGATTGTGGCATCTACATTATCATACATTTCACCAGCTGTTGGAAGGCACACAGGGGCGATTTTGTTGTCAGATGGGAACTGTATTTCTGTGGTGAGTCTGATGAGGGCAATGTCGTTGTCCAGTGTATTAGAATCATAGGACGGATGACTCACAATCTGTTCGGAAGGATGCATGTTTTTTTTCACTAATTGTTTATATCACTTGTTTGGTACTTGTTTACTTTTGTATATATGTTTATAAAATATTTAGGAATGAATTCAATGATTTTGTTCTATGATGAAGTGGGGACATTTCACTTACTTCAGCAATCTGCATCCACTGAGAATTGGCATCACTTGATGAGTACAGGTTGTGGTCTCCCACCAACACATAATCCGAGGTGCTCATGCTGCAAAAATAATATTAAATGAAACATGCATGTGACTGTAAGAGTTTTATTATCATTATTATTACCAAGAGCTACTTACACAGCTGCACAGTGAGCTGCAGTGACGACCCATTGGCTGGAGATGATAGAACCGCCACAGAAGTGATAATATCCATTGCCATTGACAAGAGAAACCATCCAGGGATATTCGTTCACCTCCGTCTCTACTCCACCAACAATGCGGTTGGCACGGTTCACTTGTCCACATCCAGCTGTGGATGTACAAGTGATTGTTTTTATAAAAAGAAACACAAAACCAGTTTCACAGAAGATAAGACAGCTTGAAAATAATAGAAAAATTGTCTGTCCATCAAACTCCCTTAGTGTCTAATGGGTTTTCTGCTAGTTCATCAATGCTGAAGACTGATATGTCGTTTGTATCTGTAAGGAATGCCTTCATGATGATATAATATTTGATTTCCTAGTGTTATGGTACTTAGATAGATAGATATTAGTATGGTACTTTGTAGATTAATACAGATTTTTTTATCTTTACGTACGGCAGTCAGAACTGGGAGTAGATGTAGGGGCAGGCGTGGGTGCAGGAGTAGGAGCGGGCGTCGGGGCATTAGTAGGAGCAGGTGTGTTTCCATCAACACAGACACCGGTTGTAGAGTCAGAAATCCATTGCAAATATTCTGACGAAAAAAAAATGATTATTTGATCATACATGCAAGGAATGACGAAAAATATATCAACCTATTCCAAGCAAGAACACAAATTCTCACTTTCTTTTCATATGTGGTGTACAGACTAATTATAGAAAAATTAAAGTTATTGTCTGTAAGGCTTTCATTCATGTGTTTATGACTACAACCTTAGACATTTATCAAAAATCTTTTAACAAAGTGATTCAATTTCTGCTTAACTGGCCCTTGACCAAGAACAGACTGTTTAAATTTGAAGGAACAGTTTGTCCCTATACACTGTTTTTTTATAATTAACTATGATTGACTTACTGCTTCTATGGTATCACAGAACTGTCACTCATGACATAAGAGAAACAACATTGATGGCATCGCAATATGTCAGTCATAAACAGCCAACACGCTACAAGATCCCTTCCAGGAAAAAACTGAAAAGCTTCAGTTGGGTATCTTTCACATGTAGGAGCCTTGATATACCTAGATACATATTTCATGAGAGTTTTTAATGAACTGCATGGCTTCAATAGCTAACCGCAATTTACTCACGTGTAACTCTGGCATAGACTCCGGGCCTATCAGGCCGAGCACAGCCATATCCCCACGATACAACTCCCACCAGTTTCCACTTGCCGTTTTCTTCCACCACCATTGGTCCTCCAGAGTCTCCCTGTAACATTCAGATATATTGTGTAGAATATATCGAAAGGAATGCTATGCATGCAGATAAAACAAGTAGTACTTATATTTTATAGAATAAACATACCTGACAGGAGTCCTTGCCTCCCTCAGGAATGCCTGCGCAGATCATGTTGTCAGTAATGCTTCCTCCATATTTGTTATTGCATTCGGTGTTAGTCATGGTGGGCACTGTTACTTCGAACAAGGTACCGGATGTGGATCCTCCTGTTAAATATATTGTATGAGTCAGTGCAGGTGGATTCTTGTTTGTTGTTCTATGATGATAAGCGAAAATAAAGAATATACCGCGAATATCAGTACCCACCCTCCTGTTGAGCTCCCCATCCGGTGATTGTGGCATCCACATTATCATACATTTCACCAGCTGTTGGAAGGCACACAGGGGCGATTTTGTTGTCAGATGGGAACTGTATTTCTGTGGTAAGTCTGATGAGGGCAATGTCGTTGTCCAGTGTATTTGAATCATAGGACGGATGACTCACAATCTGTTGGAAAGGATGCGTATTATAATAATCTATTTCACTTGTTTGGTATTTGTTTTCGTTTGTATACATATAGGTCTAGAAAAATATTTACAAATCAATCCACAAAACACAAAATCCGCTGATGGTTTTGTTCCATGATGAAGTGAGGACATTTCACTTACTTCAGCAATTTGCATCCACTGAGAATTGGCATCACTTGATGAGTACAGATTGTGGTCTCCCACCAACACATAATCCGAGGTGCTCATGCTGTAAAAATAAGAGGGCATTTTTAAATGGTTCATATGTGACAGTTAAGAAGACTGTTCATTTGTTCATTAATGGCTGCTTACATAGCTGCACAGTGAGCTGCAGTGACGACCCATTGACTGGAGATGATAGAACCGCCACAGAAGTGATAGTATCCATTGCCGTTGACAAGAGACACCATCCAGGGATATTCGTTCACCTCTGTCTCTACTCCACCAACAATGCGGTTGGCACGGTTCACTTGTCCACATCCAGCTGTGGATGTATAAACAATTGTCTTTATAAAAAGAAACCCACAAAACAAGTTTCACAGAAGATAAGTCAGCTTGAGAAAGGGTTACTGGACGCTTCAAAAATTGTCTGTCCCTCAAACTAACAAACCCTAGCTATGGGTCAGACGTTTCTATGTTATACTGTAGATTGTGAAACTCTTAACTCTGGCATGTATATATGACTATTATTTCCTTATTATAGTCCACCTAGGGATGTTTTCCATTGTTATCAGAGCAAACACTAGGTTTACTATTAACATTTCACAAAGGAAGTTATAACAATCTCTGTCCTAAATACAGAAAGGATGAATACATACTGCATTCCGAAGTTGGCTGAGGGTCTACAGTTGTTGTTTGGGAGTCTGGCACTGTACAGGATATTGCATAAGGAAGTCATTATGCGGAATTGGGAGATGTGCACATGAATCCATATTTCAAGACTTCTATGTTCCTCAGTTACTGGAAATATTAACTTTACCTGAAGCTCTGACAGAACAGGAAAATCCTGTATTAGATTTCTTCCTGTTTGTTTTGAACAAAACAGTAACTCTCCTAGATTTATCAGAAACGCTCAGAGAACCCTTGGCACCGCAGTATCTGCAATATGCACAGTGAAATAGTGGTCAATCTGCAAAATACCTCTTCCCTCTAGAATGTGCAGTTAATAGAAACATAATGCTATAGTTACGTGATGGTATTTACTTTTGTTTAAAACCAGAGGAATCCGTGACCCGGAAGAAATCCTTTTTGCATTGTCTCGACTGTTGCAGATTGAAATCGTCACACTGGATGCTCAACTTTGAATCGACAGAAGTCTGGGAAAATAATGTTTTAGATGAAGTCAAGCAGATTCATAAATCAAGCTGTATTTCTTATATCTATAAATATGCACATTGTTAGTGAAGAAATATTTGTGTATCACATAGAATTATTAAAATCAAGGTTAAATGTTAAGTTCTCACTTCAAGAACTTACGCGGAATTTCCATGTGCACTTCTTGCCACCAGGGTAGTTACTGGGGTAGTTCTTTGACTGGAATGTCTTGGAAGAACCCGGGGCTATGTAGTAAGATCCGCAATTTACTGCAGCTGGAACAAGTTAATATATATGTGCGTGTGCTGTACATGGACACATGTATGTGAACATGTTGCTTTCAGATGGTCAACAAAGTTTACAGAAAATAAATACCTCTATTTTCAAACTGTGGTGCCACTTCCATGCGCGGGCCAACACCACTGGAGTAGGTCTGAGCTTGATCTGGGTTCAGTGTCACCTGACGGGGACCAACACCACCACTAGGGTAGGTTTGAGCCTGATCTGGGTTCAGTGTCACCTGACGGGGACCAACACCACCACTGGGGTAGGTTTGAGCCTGATCTGGGTTCAGTGTCACCTGACGGGGACCAACACCACCACTGGGGTAGGTCTGAGCCTGATTTGGGTTCAGTGTCACCTGACGGGGACCAACACCACCACTGGGGTAGGTTTGAGCCTGATCTGGGTTCAGTGTCACTTGACGAAAACCGATAAACCTGAAACAAAAAATTATACATTGCTTCAAAGTATGTGCCAAACCAAATGTATACATCAAAATACTTATTATCCACTCGATATATACCGTAAAGCAAGTAACAGCTAGAAGCAGTACTGCTGAAAATCCATAAGGACAGCTGATGTGCTGAAGCTTTTTATAACCTCATAACCTTCAAAGGTACAGTGCCCCAGCCTCACACCCACCTGCTCTTTGGTGCTATCCTGGCATTGGCATCGCTCCAGGCGAACTGCAAAGCAAGTGGAGCCATGAAGATGCGTGAGTATTACACAATCGAGCATAATCACATGATTTACATATGTATGGCTGCGTAATCAATATACAATAGTGGAAGCAAGGGAAGGCAGGTCAAAGGTCGGCACTCACCAGCAGCGTCGCCGTCACCAACCCAACGGAGAAGACCCTCATGGCGAGAGCTCTTGGAGGAGGACCTGAGCGAGTGTTCGAGTAGAGGAGGAGGAGGAGGAGGACTACTTCGCAGCCCGGATCGCTCGAGGACTCTGGCTGAAACCCTCTGCAGGTATGGTTATATACCCCTGAGTATCCATGTCCCTTCCTCTCGCCACAGGTGTGGTCTTTCACAACCTGGAATCACTTTGACCTATTCGCGCTCATAAGAGAGAAATCGATGCGCCACAGGTGTTCAAGTCTTGATATAGCGAAGGATTTTATAAACTCCTGATAACACATTCACCTTATAGATAGCGTCAATGTTTATTAACGGTTAAAAGTCAGTTCTCCCATTTCCTTAATTATATACATATATATATATACACACATGCATATATATGTGTGTGTGTGTACACACATGTGTATGTGTATTATATATGTGTTATATATGTTTATATATATATATATATATATGTGTGTGTATATATAAATATACATACATATATGTTTGTATGTTTCTGTATATATACATGCATATATGCGTGTCTGTGTGTGTATATACAGATACATAGATAGATAGATAGAAATAGATATGAACATATACAGACAGATGCACACAAATACATATGTATTTGTATATTCATATACATATATATGTATTTATAAACATACATATATACACACGAATGTGTGTGTATATATGTGTGTGCGTGTGTGTGTGTGTGTATATATATATACATATATGTGTGTGTGTGTGTGTGTATGTATTTAAGTATGTATCTATGTATATATATATATATATATATATATACATATACATATACATATGCACTCACAAATGTGTGTGTTTGTGTGTATATATGTATGTGTATATGTGTGTGTGTGAACATATATCTGTGAATATATATGTATATACATATATATATTATATATATCATATATATATATATATATATATATATATAATTGGACACACAAGCACACACACACATACATATATACATATATGTGTGTGTGTGTGTGTGTGTATATATATGTATATGTGTGTGTGCGTGTGTTTATATATATATGTATACATGCATATGTGTATATATATATATATATATATATATATATATGTAAATATATATACATACATATATATATGTATATATCCACATATATATATGTATATATATATACACGCATATATATATATACAAATACATACATATATATATATATAGTACGTATAAACATACAAGTATAAATACATATATACATGCATACATATATATATGTATGTGTGTGTGTGTGCGCATATATATATATAGATACAAATAAACAAACAAAAATAAATAAAGAAATAGATAAACATATACATGTAATATATATATATATATATATATATATATATATATATATATATGTATATATATATATGTATATAACAATTGTATGTATGTATATATAACAAATGTGTATATATATATACATACATATATATATATATATATATATATATATATATATATATATATATATATATAACATGTGTATATATATAATGTATAAATTTAAAAAAGCTTTTCCCTCCCTTATTATGAGGGACTACGAATACTTTCCCCAGACGAATGCTTTTGACTTGTCACTTAGCAAGTATTGCGCGTTTCCCGATAAAGTAAATCCGACGGCGAGGTGACCGTCTCCAAAAGATAACTTATCTAGCCCCATCTCTTACGCATATTTGTAGACAGGTGAGGAAGACAACGGCGGGGAAATCGAGAAGTAAAGTTTGGTTGAGTTATGCCCGTCAGCATGGTTATTTGAGTTTTTTTACAATATTTTTTCCCCGTTCTTGTAAGAAACAAAAAGTATATTTGCCTGATAAATGAAACTACTGAACCAACAATACTGGTTACCGGTGCATAGTTCTTTTTCTTCTTGTATACTTGTAGGCAGGTACTATAGACAATTTCGTGGAGGGGGAGTAAAAAGCTAGTCCATCTTCTGTGCTGATTCGCTTTTGTTTTACATCTTCATCCATAATCGATGTTTCCACTGGTCTTTTTATATCAGAAAGGGAATACACTGTATTGGTATACAACCTCTCATGCAAGGATACACCCGTCTGCATATAGTTATACATATGTGCCTTAAGAGAAAGCTGAACATATTCCCTAGTTTGCATGGTAGATTGTAAGAAAATGAGAAATGAGGCAGGAACACTTTTGGAAAAGCCTTGCATTGCCCTTTGAGGCTAATTAGCAAAACATAACTGGATCGACACGTAGAGACAAGTGATGACCCTAGTTGGTAGATAATTAGCTGTTCAGGCGGAAATAGGAGAGGGAAACCCGAACCCGCCTTTGATCTCGCGCAGATGCGTTGAAAACCCTAGTGATGCTCTCTAAATAGAATAAAACCAGTGATTTTTTAATCTATTAGGTACTTAGCATGTTAGTTGTATACGCATGAAACGTGCAACCATACGAGATAGCGGTTATCGGATTTATATATGTATGTGTGTGTGTGTGTGTGTGTAGCATTAAAACCATGACTGAAGTAAAACTTAGTTAATTAACAAGGATCACGTACATTTATTTTTATTATATCTTTTAATCATTATCACAATTGTGTAAGAGTACATGCTTTGCCTTTATATCGTTTACAACATATTCATGAAAATTAATTATGCAATATTCCTTATATCATAGTAAATGTTTTATAACGATTGTTAAGATTATTTGGAATCTTAATTTATCATTGAACGTAAGCATTGTTCTGTACCATCAGTTTATTTAGTTTTCGTTACTACTTAGCCGCAGTTACGCTTGTGTTACGCGAACGTTCTACCAAAACGCTTTGTTTTGAATCCGCGGATACATAGCCAGGGATCCGAGTGACTACCTTGGATGACGCCTAGACGCCGTATCCTACGGTGTTAAAACCCATATTTCACGTACATTCAATGTCCTCATGCACAAGCTGGTGGCAGATATTCGACTTGGGGATGGGGAATCCATTGTATGCTATGCTGATAACATATGCGTCAAAGCATCATCACAAGAGAGGATGCAAATAATTCTCGACAAGCTCACAACTAGGGCTCATGAGTGTGGATTAGTCATATCCGCTGAGAAAACAATGGCTCTCAATCCATGTATCATACCCCTACCCACATATCGCATAGGTGACCAGGAGCTTGACATGTGTCATAAATATAAATATCTCGGGGTGAACATAAATGATGCAGACCTGATCCTTTCTCTGAAAAAGAGACTCTGGGAGAGACTGAAACCGTTGAAAGTCCTTGTTGGAAGAGAACATGGCATCAATGTTAAGCTCGCTAGACTGTTTTACTTGGCTTTTATAAGATCAGTTGTAGACTACCATGCACTGCACTTGTTGCAGTGCAAGGAACCAGAAATAAATAGCTTGGAGGTAGTGCAAAATGAAGCAATGAGGATTATCCTCGGCGCCCCGAGAACAGCAAGGATAGTGAACATGAGGTCAGAACTTAACCTACCATCCATCTCTGATAGAATAATGTTCATTTCCACTATATTTGGGGTCAAAGCTCTGAGGGAACCCTTGTATCTCTCAGACTTCCAAAAACAATTGCAGCACAAAATCACGCAAACAGACGTGACTAATCACACACACGCGCGCCCTCTAATACACAAAATTTCCATGAACATTACAAAGCTCAATGTCCCAATTAGTAAAATACCACAGGGTCGATCCATTCCACCATGGAAAGAATCACATTTGATCGTGCACCTTACGTGTCTACTACAAAAAAAAACAGTGTACATAACTGCGTGTTAAAACAAATTGCATTAGCAAAGGAAAAGGAACACACAGAGTCTATGGGCGATGATGTATACGAGTGTTACGTTGACGGATCCGTAAAGTCTGGATACAAAGCTGGTTGCGCTTGTACTGTATACAAAAATGGCTTACTACAATATCAAGTTAATATGAGAGTGCATAATTGGGCCAGCACTACACAAACGGAGCTGGCAGGTATACTCCTTGCAACGGAATTCTTAGTGTCTCGGGGCTCTGGAGTAGTTATCTGTGACTCTCAGAGTGCTCTTCAAAGCAGGTGGCGATGAGGAAATTGTAAGTTGCATTAAGCGTAACGTAACTTGTGCAATAGAGCGAGATTTCAACATTCAGTTTGTATGGCTACCATCTCATGTAGGCATAAGCAAGCACCACGTAGACAAATTGGCGAAGGATGCCTGCAGCAAAGATACTGTGTACATAGATCTTGGGATGTCTCTTGCTAGGTTGCATATATATTGAAAAGTTCTCATAAGGAAGAACTAGTAGATTTGACGAACACTCAAAGGCCTAAAAGCTGTACCATAAGGCACTACGATCAGTATAGAGATAGCAAGCCCTCCTATGGGTGGCACCGAAGTCGAACCAGACAATGTGACGTGGTTATTGCCAAAATACGTTTAGGTTACAGAATGTATTGCACGGTGCAAGAAGTGCATATGAATCTAAATGTAGACTGTGCAACGAAGAAAACAAGCGAACGCTTGAGCATTATATCTCGGAATGTCGTGTGATACAGCCTTTCAGACCACCTAACATGAGGTATAAAGAACTATGTGAATATTTCATTTCATCTGATACATTGGAAGATATACTCGTATTATATCCTAAATTTACTATGTAAAACTGCTGTAAACAAAAACACAGTGTTATGCAAACACAGTGGCAAAATCATATCAACGTATTATTTTTGTATGATGTATGACATATTTCTATACTACCATGTACAATCACAGTAGTCACAGACTACTGTACTGTGTCAGATATATGCAAAGCTGTAATCATGATTGCCCACGCCTGAGCAGATAGCCAGGGTGGTAAATAAACTTACTTAACTTAACTTATTATATCTCTGAGTGCCATGTGTTACAGCCTTTCAGACCACCTAGCATGAGGTACGGAGAACTATGTAACTACATCATATCACCTGATATCTTAGAAGATATACTTATGTTGTATCCTAAATTTGGAATGTAGTATCACATGACTGCATATCAAATGTATTAATGCTTTTCCACGCCCAAGCTATACGCCAGCGTGGTAGATGAATAGATAAAGGACTGTGCAATTGTTCCTTTCCTTGAACTGATAAAGTACTTATCATAACAATGTTATAGGATAATATCCAAATGTAATAACATTATGTAATGTTATGACCATGCATTAAATGTACCACAGCTTGCCCACGCCTGTGCAGTTAGCCAGGGTGGTAAATAAAGCACTAAACTAAACTAAAATTTGCTCGCTTAGGTAATTAGATATGCTCAGAACACATTAAATATATTCATAGCACACGAAGCGTTATCATACGAAACCACAATGCTTTAGAAAAATTATGAATACCTGTACACATGAGTAGAAGTGAAATGCTCTCAATCTTAAATCAAATAAACCCTTGGTCAGGCAATCGGTATACCAGCTGAGCTGGGCCCTAGCAGGGGAGGGAAACAGGTAGGTAGTGGAAGCTAGTGGACAGAAGAGATATTTCACTGTCCTATTCATGCTCCTTGAGAGAGCTGGCCAAAAAAAATGTAACAAGTAATCAATAATTTTGAAACAAAGTAAACAAACTAAAATTGAGAACGGGAGACAAAGAGACACAGATACAGGGTCAAGGACAGAAAGAGACAAAGACTAGAACCAAGGCCTTGAGTAAAATCCGTGACAAACGCCGGCGAGGAATGTCTTCGTATAAGTGTTCGTCAAAACCGGATTATTTTAAAGCAATATTGTGGCCATACAGAAGAAACAGACGTTAGTATCGATCACAGCTTGATATCTAAGCCCATCAAACACCTCAAATGAAACTAAGTAATTCAGACCATAGACAGAAGCAAAGAAAAGTTTTGTTTCGCTAGATAAAGGTTTTATCCTTGGGGTCCAGGGGGCAGATATTATATGGTATTATATGCTAGGTGCATATAATACCACGGGGGTCCAGGGGGAGAGCCCACTGGTTAGGCAATATATAGAACGTATTGTGCATATCCCACGATGGTCATAATTATCCTTTTATTATTGAAGACATGAAACCGCCAACATAAAACACCGTATGTTTTAGAAATAGTAATAGTAATGTTTTTATAACTGTAAAAACATTTCATTATAACTATAGTGAATATAGTTTGCTATATGACTCCATGGCTCTTCGCATGGGGTACGATGTCAATATGTTTCCTCAGTTGCACAATAACATGCATTGACATCTAAACACAAGAAGCACACATTACAGCCGCCTTTGGTAGAGTATGAAAGTCAAACCCGTTTAGAGTTCTGCTGACGACGTTATTGCTCGTCACAAACGCTGGTTGGCTGTTGAATGCGCTGCCAGGCATAAGACGAATTGGGGAAAAAACTAACACCTCATTTCAAATAATATGCTTAAGTATCAACAATAGCATAACAGCACAAGGGACCACTCAAGATTTGTCCAGAGACATTCCCATTCTTTCTCTCCCTCTTTCTCTCTTTCTCTCTCTCTCTCTTTGAATATATGTATACAATATATGCATATATATACATTCTCTCTCTCTCTTTCTTTGAATATATATATGTATACAATATATGTATATATGCATCTTTTTTTTCTTTTCTTTTTTTTTTTTTTACCATGGTGGTGTTTTCGTAAAATTGTATTGGTTTTCATTCTCGCTATGGAAGAGAGAGCTTTTCTTGCTGAACCAAAGATGACTTACAATAAAAAAAAAAATGTGCTCACTGATATATTATGCTCTACAAAAATTACTTCTTAAATCAACATTACACATTGAGGAATGCAAATGTTGATTAACATTAGCCGGCATTGGTAGTACAAGGAAAGTACAAGCGCGTTGGATATCAGCTAGGAAAGGCGTTCAGGGTTTCAGCAATGCGTTGTGCTATTTTACTTTATCGTTTAAGCTCCAAACTTCCAAACTGAAATTCGTTACTAGAGGCCTACCCTCATTTCTATTGTACAGTACAGCCTGGTTGTGCTTATATTTCCCTACAGTAATGTATTGAATATATTTCAAGATCATTCTGTATCGAGATAATAATGAACCATGATTTTTTTTTTCGTTTTGGAATATTTGTAAACTTTTCCTTTCAAACACAGGTGATTTTGTATATTGTGAATAGTGTATGTCTCAGAAATCTGAACATGTAATATAGCTTTGATAGCAATGAATATTATGAATTCTAATATTAACTGAGCTAAATAAATATGAACATATAATGTCGAAAAAACAAGGTCGTTACTGCAATAGGAAGATGAGTGTAATGGTATCATCAGGGTAAGAAGCTTCCTCCATAGTGGGAATGAAAACTAATACAGTTTTATGAAAACATTTTGACAATACAAAAATAAATGCGGGCCGATTTAGGTTTCACGCTCGTTGTGGTTACTGTACATGGTTAAAAATAAATGTTTTGTCTTTTTTTCCAAAAAAAAGAACATTTAATAAGGTATGAATACTTGAGACCCAAAGGCAAAGGGGTCAGTGGATGTATGAAATAGAACTCCTATCACGGACTTCGTACGCTACCAAAGACGGCAATAGGTGCTTGTGGTATGGACGATCACTAAAACAAATCGAAATATACTCAATTTATTGTCACTTCCGGATATTTTAGTTATTTCAAAAAAGGTTTTTTTTTCTTAAATGTGCCAAATGAAAGAAAACGTGAAAGTAAGTAATAAAGGTAGTATATCCGCAACTCAACTCCTTGTCTATGCCGTCTAAGGACCAGCTTAGGCTTCTATTAGTCTATTCAATGGACGGATTAACCAGCCGCCGGACAGACACCTCCGGTCGAGGTCGAAATCCAATCAAGGTATTCTGAAGAGAAGGAAACAGAACCGTTTGTTAGCATTTCCCGTAAAATATCCAACTTGCCACAAAAGATTAATCATTAATAGAAATAAAGAACCTGGTCATTTATAATTGATTTAAGTTTTTAGCGCCATATTGAAAACTGCTTGCCAGTTCTAAAAGTAACTGCTGAACACTAACGTGTAACTCTGGCGTAGACTCCGGGCCTATCAGGTCGAGCACAGCCATATCCCCACGACACAACTCCCACCAGCTTCCACTTGCCGTTTTCTTCCACCACCATTGGTCCACCAGAGTCTCCCTGTAACATTCAGATATATTGTGTAAAATATATCGAAAGGAATGTCATGTATCAAAATAGACAAGTTCAATTTGTATCTTTAAAAAGAAAGGATGAAGAATGAACATACCTGGCAGGAGTCCTTGCCTCCCTCAGAAATGCCTGCGCAGATCATATTGGCAGTGATGCTTCCACCATACTTGCTATTGCATTCATTGTTAGTCATGGTGGGTACCGTTACTTCGAACAAGGTGCCGGATGTGGATCCTCCTGTCAAATGCATTGAATGTATATATGCAAATCAATCCTTACTTTTGTTCTACTCTCACATAACTTACATACTGAAAATAAATTTGGACCAGAAATCAATACTGACCCTCCTGTTGAGCTCCCCATCCTGTGATTATGGCATCCACATTATCATACATTTCACCAGCTGTTGGAAGGCACACAGGGGCGATTTTGTTGTCAGATGGGAACTGTATTTCTGTGGTGAGTCTGATGAGGGCAATGTCGTTGTCCAGTGTATTAGAATCATAGGACGGATGACTCACAATCTGTTGAATGTGTATTACATTTGTTAATTTCACTTGTTTGATAGTTGGTTTTACTTGAAAATATAAGTCTAGAAAAATATTTACAAATCGATTCACTTTTTTACAATGTCTGTGATAAACTGAGGACATTTCACTTACTTCAGCAATTTGCTTCCACTGAGAATTGGCATCGGTTGATGAGTACAAGTTGTGGTCTCCCACCAATACATAATCCGAGGTGCTCATGCTGTAAATATAATAGATTTTTTGTACATTTCAGAGTAGAATGTTTTTTCTTTCTTTCTTTCTTTCTCTATTAATAGCTACTTACACAACTGCACAGTGAGCTGCAGTGACGACCCATTGGCTGGAGATGATAGAACCGCCACAGAAGTGATAGTATCCATTGCCGTTGACAAGAGAAACCATCCAGGGATATTCGTTCACCTCCGTCTCTACTCCACCAACAATGCGGTTGGCACGGTTCACTTGTCCACATCCAGCTGTGGATGTACAAGTGATTGTCTGTATAACATAAAACTTCATCAAGAAGCTAGACTGATATGTTCATATTTGGAACAAATGTCTCTGTAGATTTTTTTCTAGTAGCATGGTATTTTGTAGATTAATATAGACATTATTTTTACATACGGCAGTCAGAATCAGAAGTAGGATCAGGCGTCGGGGCATTAGTAGGAGCAGGTGCGTTCCCATCAACACAGACACCGGTTGTAGAGTCAGAAATCCATTGCAAATATTCTGACAAAAAAAGTGATATTTATTTGTTCATACGGACGAGGAATTATGGAAAATATATCAACATATTAATAGCAAGAACTCTCACATTCATTTCATATATGGTGACAGACAAAAAATACTGTAATGCTTTCATTCATGAATACAGACGCATGTGTTAATGACTACAGCCCTAGACATGTTAAAGATCCCAATGAGCACGGATGGCAAAAATGAATGTCATGTCCACTATAATATAAGTTCATTTATTGTATTTACACACTGACGGCTCTATGAGTGCTTATTCACCAAGGAATCAATTACTGCTACCTATCTCACCTACTTACCCTTTTCCTTAATTTTTGGACTGTTTCTTTTGTATCATTTCACTGTCTTTAATGTTACCAAGATTTTAATAACAATTTAATTATCAAAATATCAATAAGAATAATAACAGTATCGATATTAATACATATTTTCCCGCAGTTTTAAGGAATTGGGAAATTAGGAGTGATCACTAGGATCTACCGATGCACTCCTTGTTGACTGAGTACATGTGGAGCCATCTGTATGTAACAAAATTCAGAGTACATAAATCCGTAGTCAGTGGGTAAACAGAGTGATTCCATCTTTGCTTAACTGACCCTTGACCAAGCACAAACTTTGTTTAGATTTGAAGGCACAATTGATCCCTATACACTATGTCTTTTTTTATGATTTTGACTATTGTTCATAATGGAAGAGAAACGACATCGATGGTATGGCAAACTGTCAGTCATAAACAGGTAACGTGCTAGTGTAGCTCACAGGTAAAATATAGTTTTCTTTCATGGCAATCTTGAGTTGCGTTGGGTTATTGAACTGTACAACTTGATTCATTAGTAAACTACAATTTACTCACGTGTAACTCTTGCATAAACTCCGGGCCTATCAGGTCGAGCACAGCCATTACCCCACGACACAACTCCCACCAGCTTCCACTTGCCGTTTTCTTCCACTACCATTGGTCCTCCAGAGTCTCCCTGTGACATTCAGATATATTGTGTAGAATATATCGAAAGGAATGGCATGCGTGCAGATAACATGATTAGTATTTACATCTTAAAGAAAGGGAGAACATACCTGACAGGAGTCCTTGCCTCCCTCAGGAATGCCTGCGCAGATCATGTTGTCAGTGATGCTTCCTCCATACTTGTTATTGCATTCGGTGTTAGTCATGGTGGGCACTGTAACTTCGAACAAGGTGCCGGATGTGGATCCTCCTGTTAAATGTATTGTATGAGAATGCAGGCATTTTTTTTTTTTTTTTCTATAACATAATACAAAATATATACAAATATCGCGAATATCAGTACCCACCCTCCTGTTGGGCTCCCCATCCTGTGATTGTGGCATCCACATTATCATACATTTCACCAGCTGTTGGAAGGCACACAGGGGCGATTTTGTTGTCAGATGGGAACTGTATTTCTGTGGTGAGTCTGATGAGGGCAATGTCGTTGTCCAGTGTATTAGAATCATAGGACGGATGACTCACGATCTGTTGGAAAGGATGCGTATTATAATAATCTATTTTTCACTAATTGTTTATATCACTTGTTTGGTACTTGTTTACTTTTGTATGTTTATAAAAATATTTACGAATGAATTCAATGATTTTGTTCTATGATGAAGTGGGGACATTTCACTTACTTCAGCAATCTGCATCCACTGAGAATTGGCATCACTTGATGAGTACAGATTGTGGTCTCCCACCAACACATAATCCGAAGTGCTCATGCTGTAAAAATAATAGGACATTTTTTTTTTTAATGTATATGTAACAGTAAGAGGAAAGCATTTTTGTTCATTAACAGCTACTTACACAGCTGCACAGTGAGCTGCAGTGACGACCCATTGGCTGGAGATGATAGAACCGCCACAGAAGTGATAGTATCCATTGCCATTGACAAGAGAAACCATCCAGGGATATTCGTTCACCTCCGTCTCTACTCCACCAACAATGCGGTTGGCACGGTTCACTTGTCCACATCCAGCTACGGGTAAGACGTTTCTGTATTATACTATGGATTGTGACTCATGAATGTTTAACTCTGGCATGTATATATGAATATTGTTTTCATTATTATAGTCCAACTAGGGATATTTTCCATTGTTATCAGAGCAACCACTAGGTTTACTATTAACATTTTCACAAAGGAAGTTATAACAATCTCTGTCCTAAACACAGAAAGTATGAATACATACTGCATTCCGAAGTTGGCTGAGGGTCTACAGTTGTTTGGGAGTCTGGCACTGTACAGGATATTGCATAAAGAAGTCATTATGCGGAATTGGGAGATGTGCACATGAATCCATATTTCAAGACTTCTATGTTCCTCAGTTACTGGAAATATTAACTTTACCTGAAGCTCTGACAGAGCAGGAAAATCCTGTATCAGATTTCTTCCTGTTTGTTTTGAACAAAACAGTAACTCTCCTAGATTTATCAGAAACGCTCAGAGAACCCTTGGCACCGCAGTATCTGCAATATGCACAGTGAAATAGTGGTCAATCTGCAAAATACCTCTTCCCTCTAGAATGTGCAGTTAATAGAAACAATTACTGCTATATTTACATGGTGGTATTTACTTTTGTTTAAAACCAGAGGAATC